ATTAATACCTTTTTCTCCCAGCCTTTTTGAAAAGGTTTATATGAATTAGAATTTCACACAGTATGATTTGAATTATGCTTTTCAGAGCAGAGGATTGGTTTCCATTGCTGCTCATTCTGTCTTTTAACAGTTTGCTATAAATGTCCTGTAACTGAATGGGACATCATAATGAATAAAGGTTTTCTTTAGCCGATGTGGTTTGACATGTTTGCCCTGAAGTACTTTTGCACATAGTAATGCACTATTATTCTTCACTGTCACACTCCAATCCCAACCCCCCCAGTGATGGTCTTTAATTTGCAGGGATTGGCAACAAGAGAAGGTTGCTGAAGAGGGCTCAGTGCGCCTCTTGATTTCTTGGCACAAATGAATGAAGTGGCCTAAGTCCAGCTGCTCTGCTGACCTTGGTTTGCAATCAATAGTGTGTTTAGATCTGTTGATAGCCAAATAACTCCACTCATAAAATATCCTTTCTTTATTTACCACTGAAAGAACACGATTGGATGAACTATAAAAATTTCACAATTTTAAAGTTCATCAGCGTTAATCTGTTTTTTTACTTCTAATGTTCAAATGATCAATGTGAGAAATGTATTATTTACCATCTTGTATTATACGTAAAGCTGACCCATGATATTAGCATTCACTAAACATATACCGGTAACCATCTGTTTTTGCTGTTTCGTTTTAGATCAGATTAATCAATTCCAGTCATTTAGGATTAAAAGCTTTATTTTCTATTAACTAAATGATAATAAGGCGATTCCTTATTCCTTATCTGAAACCTTCTTCCTTCCTTTTTCAGTCCTGCTTTGACCGTTTTTTCGTGCCTTTAAATTGGCTGTTCAATTCTCTCCTCCTCATGTGTTTTTTTTACATTGGATGAATCCTTAGGCATAAATTGTTTTATGAGGAAAACTGATAAGCAGCTGTTTTGGAAAGACTATTAATTTTATCTAAGAGTTTGCATTTTGAAAGGACACTAAGGATAAATACTTGCTCACACATTTTCCATAAAGATCTCATCAGCATCGTCCCATGATCTTGGCACTGAGGACTGGATTATTGGTTTAATTCATCCACCTGCTTAGTTCTTCCCAGTTTTCATTATCATTCATCAGATCCACCTGTTCCAATTCCTATTTATTCTGCTTAGTCCCAACCATCAGTGCCAGATTATTTGGGCCGTAGGTGAGAGTTCTCTAGCATACCCAGGGTGTTATTCTTATTGCCTGATCCTGACTAGTTTGTGCTCCTGGACTTTTGAGTTTGCCTGCCCCTGATCTGATCTGTTTGCCTGACCTGTCTTCGGGCTTCCTTTAGATTATGCCTGCTAATGACCTTGGATCTTTCTCCTGACCACGGCTTGGATTTCCCTTTGGTACCTCTTTGGATATCTGATCTTCTGCTTCCTCATCAACACTGGTTTTGGATTCACCGTCCGGATACTTCTGCTGTTCCTTGTCTGCTGGCTTCTACTCGTGCTTTTTATTTATCAGTTCAGTCTGTCTGCCTGAATTCTGGGTCTAATGTTCTGACACACTGTGCACTTTTGAAATATATAGTTACAAAGGTCTGAGAAAGCTAAAATGAGAAAAGTCTTTAAGTCTTTTCTATGGGTTATGTTTTTTTTTTTTTGTTCTTGGTTGGTTGTTTTATGGGATGCAGAGAAGATCATAGGAGTAATCAGGTTTCTTTTTTTCCACCTGGCATCTGGTAGAACAATGCTACACTCACCAGCAGCCATCTGCAGAACCTGAAAAAATGCAAAAGGGGGTGGATGTTTTATCAGATAAGATTCACAAAATGATGCTTAATATTGTTTATCTTTGGAAGAAGATTTTTAATTGCACTTAAATCATAACCTTGGTTTATTCCTTAAACAAAAACAACTAGAAGACTGTGTTTTTGTAGCTGAGGGAATATAAGCACACCTCAAGTGCAATAGCTAGTTTTGCTAAAATAACTTAAGTGGGATTCTTTGAATCATCTTGCAGTCTGGGACATCGGTCTGAGGAAAGTTTGCACCGCCTCAGCTGGCAGATGTTAGATGTTTGACGAAGCTCTTGATGTTTTGTCTGTTTTAAGTCATCCCACAGCACCTGAATAAGATGAAGAGCTGCACTTTACCTGATCCCAGTACCTTCCATTCTTTGGTTTTCATTTAGTGGGTTGTTTTGGGATCTTTGTAATGCTGCATGGTCCAGCTCTCTTTTTTTCTTTCTTTTTCTGTTAACTGATCAAATTTTCATCAAGCACTGACTGAAACAAGAATGGGTTGAATTTAGGGTGAAGCCTATGACGATGAGGCAGCTCGGTTCTGCTGCTGCAAAGTTTCTTCACATCATGATACTCCCAACCCCAGGCTACACTGGTGTCTTTATCCTGTAATGCTGTTCTTGATTAATCCCAAACATATCCTGGACGTGGCAGTGATGCAGAGGTAAAAGCTTCCACCCATGCCCAAAGCTCTTGAGCCTCTTACCAACCATCACAGGTTCGGGTCCTGGCCTATGACCTTTGCAAAATGTGTTCACTATTTCCTGTCTACTGTATCTATCTTTTTAAAAAGCCCACTAGTGCCAATAAAAAGATAAACAAACACATGAATTATTCTGTCCGGAAACATTATCTGTCAAGTTTCGGTGTTTCTATATAAAAAACTTAAAGTTATGATTTTTCTTGGGTAGAAAATGATACTATCTTTGTACATCTTTCATAGAAATTTACATTTTAGGTCTAGTAGAAAGATAATTCAGTATATTTTCACAAAGAACTAGCAAGCGGATGCTGTAGGCCATTTTAGGGGTTTTAGAGACCTTTAGCATCTTATAGTCTGCTTCCAGTGTGAACAGTTCAGTGAGTAGTTGGACAGATGTTTGTGAGCATGTTGAATGTATTCCTCTCGTAGAATATTTTCCACAGATGAGACATCTGACTTTAAAAGCACAAAAGGACCTCTTTAAATTCCTTAACGGACTCATGGGCTTTCACAACCTTCTTCCTGAAGACCTTAGAGATATTTACACCTATTTGGATCCTACCATGGTGTTCACTTTGACTTTCAGGTATATACCAAACAAAAGTTTTAAGGTTGTAAAATGTAATGTAAAAAAAATGTAAAATGTAAAATAATTTGTTTAGTATGGAAAATTTTCCAAACATCCTAAAGCACAGATGACCTCATTCACTTGCTTACTTTTTCACCACTGAGTTCTGAGTTCTACCCAAATCTTTGTATATCAACTACCACTCAACTCGATATCCAATAACTTTTCCGGTGGGATTTCCGGCAACTTTTTACTTCCATTATTTAAGGACACACTTGATATTTTATTGTTTGATTTAATCATATCTGTTTTTTACAACGTATTATTATTATTTTGTTTTCCAAAGCTATTGCATTTGTTTACTGTTCTTGCACTACATGTTCTTTGTGCACATTGCTGTTCTAGTTTTAATCAAAAGTATAAAACACATGACACTTTGACTGTAAAAAAACTGCAGACTAATTATTTATTAACTTTTACTAACACTAGATTATTCATTTGAAAAGGAGAGTGTAAACAGCATTAGTAGGTGTGTGTGTGTGATCTGATCAGGAATGTATAGTATGGTATAAATAGATGGCGAAATGAAATTAGGGCCCCATGGAGGATTGGGTCGACCATAATGAGAATAGAATAGAATAGAATAGAATAGAATAGAATAGAATAGAATAGAATAGAATAGAATAGAATAGAATAGAATAGAATAGAATTGAATAGAATAGAATAGTGCTTTATTTTCACAGATTAGGGAAACATATCAGCATAAATTGACAGCCACATTGAAGCCCATGGATGCTCATTAGGACAGCATTTAATGAAAGAATAAAATAAATAACAACATAAAAGATCACTGAAAGGAAATATGCAAAGTAGTGAAGAAAATATATTAAAAAAAAACATAGACTTTAAACAAGAAAAGGGCAAGCAGTGTAAATAACCCAGTAATGTAGCTATTTTTATTTTAATAATATCAAACACTTTTTCCAATACATAAATGCAGATTAAGAGCCTTAATAATCCATCTGTTTTGAAATGAGAAGAACAGTTATTTACTTTCCTTTAGAAACACGGAACTAGATTATGTTATATGTTATTTTTTGCATTTATAGCATCAAACCATTGTGTGCTTACTGAATGTTATCACGCTGTAGGAATCTCAGCCCATGCCTACTCCACCCCTTTAAAAATGCAGCAGTTGTATCCCTGCTGTGATGAAAGCAGAGTGACATCATCTGGTCAGCTCACTAAGCCGTTACAAACAGAAACAGAACAGTAGCTCCCTGCCAGCTGGTATGACGTCATTGAAGCTATGGGTACAAAAAGCAAGTCATTCCACTCCAACATCACTTTTGATAACATGAAAGGTTATGGAAAAATAAAAGAACTGTTATTTTATTATTCTTTTTTTTCATCTACTCAAAAGAAATTCTGTTTTTCTAGTTAAAATACTACTTGTTTGTGAAAAAAGTGCATTTATAAATATTTTGTAAATACAAGAAACAAATTTGTTCCCCTATTTTCATTTTTTTTCAGTTTTTGCCAAACAGTCCTTTTCCACTCAGAATTAAAAAAAAAATTATTATTAGATAAATAAGAACAAAAAAACGTTTATCTATTTCAGTTACTCAATACAACAAGTTAGACTGATGTTTTCAAGCCTTTCATTCTGTAATTTAGAACACTTTCTGCTTACAACTAATGAAAACACAGCATTGAAATTTAAAATATAACATCAGTCCAGTAAAAAAAAAAATCAACTTTTAATTTTCTTATTCTTTGGAATATTACTCTTCTGTTTATGTTTATAACTGTTTATGAATTTATCAGCATGTGTAATAAAAAGTAATAATAAAGGTCCACTTTGCACAAAATTTGTCTATTATATTCAGCCTTGCCATATAGGTTTTTTTTATGCACCTTTTCCAAATGCCTTTGTCTCCCTCTCCGCAGGTCAAACTGGCTGAAGCCTTGCTGTGGACGGCGAGCTGCGCTGTGGCAGGTCTGCCTGCTGTCAGCAGGTTTCAACTGTTTCCTGGTAGCTTGTGTCATCCTGGTGGTGCTGCTGCTGACAATCGAGCTGCTCATAGACACCAAGCTGTTGCAATGTGAGTGATGCTTACTAGGATAACGTGGCTCTGATGGAAGTTGGGGGTGGGAAGTGTGGTTTTTCAGGATGTAATATTGATGAAGCTGGTGTGTTACGTTCATTATTTACAACCTAAACTTGATGTAGCGCGCCCTTGAAAAGAGAGGAAAGCGGTTTGCTCAGCACAACTGTTTACTGATTGTTATTCAAAGGCACTGGGTCAAAGCACTGATCTAATCCAGAAGACAAAGGAGCACGTTCATTACGCTATCATTAGCATACTGGTTAGCTGCAGGAAGACCATGCTTAGAAATAAAGCACAGAAGGAAATGCATTTGATGAAAGCATTGATATTTGCAAAGGTTGAACTAACAGAGTATGGGTGCTCTCCATCTCTGCATTGGTTTATTTCAGTTTATTTATATAGCGCCAATTCATTTCAAGGCACTTTGCAGAGGAAATTCAATCAGGTCATACATTCAAACTGGTAAAAGTTAAGGAAAACCAGATGAATGCATCAAGTCATTGACTTGCATCAGTACTCTACTGCCACAAGTTACTTTTATCCCACGTAATATTGTGTGTGTGTGGCTAAACTGAAAAATGTGTATATTTTTAAATATATATATATATATAAAAAAACTGTTTTCTCACCCCTCGTGGGGTGGTATGTGTCATCCTCAAGCTCGGGTCCT